CAACACCTTGAAACTATCGCTAAAGTAATATTATTAAGTCTGACATGTACTCTGTGTTACCGGAAGATAAGAATGTGGGCTTTCTGTATGGAAGTGAATCTCTGAGTACCTGGAGCCAAGCACCTGTAGTTGTTTGTGAGGGTGGGGTGGGAGAATCTTAAAAGGAAAACTATTGGTTTGTTCTAATGGAAGAGCCACTGAACAGGATGAAGCCCCTCATTTTTTTTTAACCTTGACAAACCCTCCTTTTCTTGAACATGCACGAAAATAAACATGCGCCTTAAACGTATGCTCAATCCTCCAGAGCACAATTTCATGTATCTCACAGCCACACTTAATAAGAATTTGAAGTTACCCATCTATCAGGATTTGTTTCTTCTTTGGTCATTGTTATGCTACGGGTCCTTCTTCTCTTTATCTGATTTTCTCCCTTTAGGCTGTTTAGCAGCCGATGTGTACAGAAACTCGTTCTTTTTATGCATAAAGGCGCTGGAGGAGCTGCTGCTATGCTAAAGCTCAGCTCCTTGTATTGCCATTGGCAGAGAAAAGTCATTCTGGGTTGTCTCCAGTTCCTGGTTATTCCTACCAAAATAAAAGCTTGTTTTTACTGGATTGTGCAATAAATTAGTCAATTGTTAATGTCAAATGATCTCTTTACTCACCTTACAGGTGTAAAAAACTATTTTATTAACTGGACCGAGGGAAAAAAGGTCCTTTAAAGAAAATCGTTGTTAAAAGAAAGTCAGACAGGGTCATGTTGGCTTACAATGCTTGTAGAAACACACCAAACGTGTGAAAGAAGAGGTTCTGGTTAAAGGAAACTAAAATTTAAATCTTTGGCCTGCACTGCAATGTCATCTTAACAATATTAAGTAATAGTTTTAAAAACTAAGCAAAATCTAGAATCTGCTTTTTCTGTTTTGAAAACTTTTCAGAATAAAATTTTAAAGCATTGAAAAATGCTCATTATTTATTGCTTTGTTCAACAGGTGAGAATGTGAAGCAGTCCAAAGAGTCAGAGACTAAAGTTACCAACAAAGCAAAGATTCTGGAAGAGGAAAATCTTAAAGAGATGAATGAATCTCTGCAGCATGAGAAAGACCATCACAAACAAACTAATACTGTCGTCAAACAGAGGCGTTCATCCACACAGGGGAGGAAGAGGAAAATGAAAACCATCCAAAATGAACAGAGCTTAGACTCTGACAAAAAGCAGGAAAGGTTAACTGACTCAGTTGCTATGGAACCAGAGCTCCCTGTCCCTCCTCCTGTACGCACCAGCTCTCGTCTGGCTGCTAAACCGCGGCTGTTCCACAGATTGTCCATACGATCTGGGTGCCCCATTGAGCGATCCGACTCCTCCAAAGAGACGGAGGTACAGAGCAAGGACTCCTACACCTCATCACCTACGGAAACTGAGTCATCTGCTGTAGCTTCTCCTGCCAAGGAGGCCCTCAGGAGGAAATCAGAGAACCGAGAGAGGCGGTACAGGTGCTCTAGCTGTGGTAAAAGCTTCTACCAGCTCGGTCACTTGAAGAAACATCAGTTCAGCCACACAGAAGAGAAACCCTTCAAATGTCCAGACTGTGGGAAAAGCTACACCTCATCAGAAAGCTTCAGAGCCCATCAGGTAATGAGCACATTGTAGCTGTGGAGAATTTATTTTGTCTGTTATTTATTTTAAAGTTTAAGTTAGAAAATGAATAAATTCCTTATTTATAGTTTGCTACTATATAGAATAACGTATATACAAAACTATAAAAAATATTAGATAGACAGATACTAAGGAGTGCTTGCTAGTAGCTCTTAATTGCATGCAACTCGGTAAGAAAAAGTTTGTCATTCTGCAGTGAGAAAGTATGATTTATCGCAGGCTTTGTTTTAGATAGCCAGTATTTGAGAGCCACTGTTGTTATTCAATTTTCGGTTTCATGTGATAGAAAGAAACAAAGTAATGCATTGTTTTAAAGTAAAGGGAAAATTATGTGCTTATTTACTTTTTTATAGTGGTATGTGCGCTTTAGATTTAACGATTCAGAGTCAGCTTTTGTTGAGCCAAATTTAGCTGCAATAAAAGCTGCAGGTCGATTTTAAAATATTGAAATATTAAGCTTAGTCAAATCAGATGGTAAGAAAAAAAACAAACTACAGCATAACGCTGAAACCACTGTGTTACATAGCGGGGAAACGGTAAATTTAATTATTTGTTAAAAGTATTTGTTCTCTTTTTACATGTGTTTCATATATCTTACTTTTGTTAGTTTGCCTCATGAAATCTGAATAAAACATATTTTATCTGATTCTTAAAACAGGGAATGTTTAAGTGATATGAATACTTCTGTAGGAAAATGTTACAGCTGCAGTTGTTTGTAAGAAAGATGATTTTTGGTTTCCACAAACAAATACAGGACATAAACCAAATGAAATGAAACAGAAGGGCTTTAAGCTCTGCGTCGGTTCAGGAAACCATCCTTACTGACCTAATTTTGGCTCTGAGAAACATCAAACATGAAGCCTTGTTTAAATTTAGACATATTGAGACAATAGAAGCAGTGGTCAGACAAAATGATCGAGGTAATTGTGGATTTGTTTACAGTTGAGTCACCGAGGTGAGCGTCCATTTTCCTGTCCTCACTGTGAGAAGACATATGGCCTGAAGCGGGACCTGAAGGAGCACCTGGTCCTGCACACCGGAGAGAAACCCTACACCTGCCAGCACTGTGGCAAATCATTTGCGCGCCGCCCTTCCTTGCGTGTCCACTGCCTGCTTCACTGTAGCAGGAAGGTCCACATGCAGTCCCCAAAGGTAGTAACTAGAGGGATCAATTTAGGGGCCCCTTTTTTTTTATCAGATTATCCGGATTTTCCTGGTGCCTAATTTGAACTTGTATCCCAGGCTTGTTTTCCCATCAAAAACAACCTTTGGAAGTTACCCACTTTCAGTTTTTTCTCCCAGGTGCAGTGCACAGTCTGCTCCAAGCAGCTGGCTAACCTTAACTCCCTGAGGAACCACATGAAGCTCCACTCTGGGGAAAAGCCTCACATCTGTCAGAACTGTGGGAAGCGCTTCAGTCAGAAAGGTACTGCCAGCTTTTCAGGTGTGATCATCCACTCGGCTTCGATCGATTTAATATTTGTCTGACAGCTGAGCTTTATAAAGGGGCATATCACTCAAAATCCATTCTTTGTGTCCTTAAAGCTTCTAAAAGTCTAGAAAAACAGAATTTAGTTTCTGCAATTCTGTTGATAAATTGAGATGCTGATTGGTTAAGTGTTTGATTTTTTTGCATTTTATATGGAAATGCTGCACATGGTCATTGACCTTCAGCTAACCAATCTAACAAATTTCTTTTTTTCACAATACTTTTGTAGTCCCAGTTGAAGAATGCCGAAAACAAGCAGATAAATCTACATGTTCGGTTGCTAGATGTATTAACCCCCACAAGTCTTTGCACTTTCCGCAAGGATCATTTTGGGATAACAGAAGCAGACATACTGATTAAAGTAATTATGTGGTTGTTATACATATAGTTATGTAGGGCTGGAATCCGATTGATCGTGAAACAAATAATCATCCACTAATTTAGTAATTGATTAATCATTAACTAGAGTATAGAGACTGTAAAACATGCCCCCAGCTGACAGACCAACCCACTTAGAGCAGTAATTATATAAAAATTGTGAAAAATATATAAAGATTTTGGATATAAGATAAAAAAAAAAACGTTTTCATTTGTCAATGTACTCTAGCCAGAACTCCTCAGGTAGAAAAGTTTTAGTTTTACCTTTGGCTATCCGATTATTAATCGAACAAATAAAGGACAGATTAATCGATTAGCAAAACACTGATTAGTTGCAGCCCTAATATTATGTAATGTAGTGTATAGTAGCCTTTTTTGCTTGCAGTCCCATAAACCTCAAAAATCCAAAAAAGTGTTTATGTTCGTAAGCAGTTAGAGCAGCAAGGGTCATGAGGCTATTAATATCACCAGCCTTACATTAAGCTGTCTGTCTTACAAATAATGAGAACAAAGCCCCAAGAAAAGTTGCAAGTGCAGTGTCCTGCACTTGTGACAGTAGAGGACATACCATACCCCTCAATTGTCTCATAACACAGTTTCACAGACGTAATTTGGGGGTGGAGACACAAGGGACATGTCCCCTGCTTTTTTTCAAAAATCCATTTTGGTCCCCTGCACTTTTTACGGTCGAAAAAAAACAATTTTACGCTTTAGTACGCAGACAGTTGTTCTTACTATACTAGGACCAAGCAGAAAACCGCAGCTCAAGCTGAAGCCCGCTTCCCTGAGTTTAGTTTTGTGATTGTCACCGCTGTCACTCATGAGACAGCGGTTACAAAGATCCAATGTGCCACTGAATCGGGTTTGTGAAAGGTCTTGAGGATAGTTGGTGAGGGAATCTGCTACTGTAAATTAGGCATTTTTTCTTCTCTTGGGTCACGTAATTCAGAAGGGTTGTAATATCAGGTGTCTTAATTTAGACAAATCTTTGAATGTGTCCCATGTGCGTATGTTTGTGTGTGTGTTTGGTTATTAGACTCTCAGCCAGGATGTCTGAACAAAGTAAGAGAGATATAAGTCAAAATGTAAGTTACTTTAAGTCAGGCATCCCCAAACTCGGTCCTCGAGGGCCACTCTCCTGCAGGTTTTAGAGGTTTCCCTGCTTTAGCACAGCTGATTATAATGATTGCAGTACAGCAAAAGCCTGTTAATCAACTATCAATTAAAATCAGCTGTGCTGGAGCAGAGAAACATCTAAAACCTGTAGGACAGCGGCCCTCGAGGACCGAGTTTGGAGATGCCTGCTTTAAGTTAAGAACTGGGTAAAATCCCTCCTAAACACCTTCACTGACTCCATAAAGCAACATATCCTCCTCCACATTTTATAGCTTTCAATAACCTTGTAAAGCTCTATGTGCAATTGTTGATTTCAGGCTTTTTTCGACAACATTTTTTATAATAAAAAAGAAAAGTTGCACTTTTATATAAAGTGCACTCTGAGGTGTTCCTCTTAGAAATATTAGGCACATGTTCAGGTAAATTATTTTTCTATGCATTATAATAAAGCCATGCTTTAGATAGACAGCATGGTTTTTATTGTCAGCCACTGTTTTCATTAATTTCCTTAAGCTGTGTTGACATGGCTGTCTCTGTGACAGCCTGCCAGTACTTGGACTTAAAGATAGACAACTTTTATTGTCATTTTGTATACAAAGACTGTATACACAACATTTCGTTTTGCCTACACACGGTTACCATGGTTACTTTGATGTGCAGTGGGAACCATCAAGGTGTTTATGGTGATTTGTATTTAGGGACTGTGATGGGCAGACAAAGGTCTTCCTGCAACTTTGATTTAAAGACTTTGTGCCTCATCCTCCTGTCCATCCGTCCATCATCCATCTATCCATCTCTACACTCTATTTATTGCTTTGTGCCTTTCAGGTTCTGTTGTACAAATATCTGTTCTACTTATAAATAGGCATAGGCAACACTTCATATCCAAGATTTCATTCTGTCATTGTAGATTACTGCACATCAACTGACAAGGAAGATAAGAGAGATTTAAAAGTAATTTTGTATGAGGTATTTTTTTATTCAATTTTTTAAATAAAATTGTAGAGGTTTTGTTTTTTTCTCTACCTATTTTCCACAGAAGCTCACACCTTTCTGTGATGTCGGAGACTTTAAAAGCAGACATGAGACTTTGCTGGAGTAATTTGTCTGTAATTAGTTGCTGACCTCGACTTAGACCTGCTTTTAAGAGAATGTTGTTTTGTTCTGCTTTAACGCTGTATCATCAGGTAAATGAACAGTGTCATGAATCCTCCCAGTTAGTTTTCTTTTCAGATCAGTCTAGGTGAAATAATGGTCTAGACTGTCAGCCCCCACTTTTAAAAAAACTGTCTTTTATGTTTTTTCCAGGTTTATTAAGGTGTGATAAGTTCTTTTATCAGGATATATTTTTTTTCCCATTTATCTGTAATAACTTACATAGATAGGCTTAAAGACCAACTTTAGAGAGGCTTTTGTGAAGTAGTACAGACGTTTCTTGACCTTCTTACTCTGCTAAATGTGCTTTCTCTTTTTTCTCTTAAGCTAAACAAGAGATTTGAAGCAAAGGAGGATGGTTTTGAGGTTACCGAGTGATGTGGCTATAGAATCCCAAGGGTTTTGTGTAACAGAATCCAATTTTGTGTCTTTAAAACTACTCTTCCACTCTAGCTCTCTTACGCGGCTTATCTGTGGAAACTGATGTCTCTTTGCTCACTGATATATTAGTGAAGGTGTGTTTAGCTCAGCAGCAGTGATATCTACTAAGCTTTTTTTTTTTTTATATTTTGCTTGGTTTGGTCAATGTTAATACTCCTATGTTGACAGTTAGAAAACAGCCAATCTTCACAGCTCAAAAATTACTCAGCCAATGTTTCTGCAATCAGATGGCCTGGGCTTTGATCCCAAGGCCAGTGCATGCTAGAGTAATGAACAACGGGCACGATTCTGTTTAGAAGGAGAGGTAGAAAGCCTTTAAAACAGCCTGGCAATATGACTTAGGTTTGCAAAGTAAAAGAAGCAAATCATTTTATAGATGTTTTTGGCCATGATCCACATTAATATATTACCAAACAGTAATGCCCCATACCACTTAACAAACATGGTGGTGGAGGGTAATGATGTAAGCTTATTCTGCAGCAAGAGGAAATCTAGCTACCATTTGCAGTCATTTCATGGACCTTGAACTCCTCTGTTTCCTCAGATAATATGGAGTCTAATATCTGATCAAAACTTAATATTTGGCATAGACTTTTGTTTGCAATTACATATATCAGACGTTTCCTGTCCCTGACAAGGTGGCACACAATGCAGAAGAGATTTTGGACTAATCCTCCTTACGGATCTTCTCAAGATCCTAAAGATCTCTAGGCTATTACTAAGTAATGCGAAATTTTTGGTCGATTTTATATGATTCTGATATTGATATGAACAATTTAAAAGCCATAAAAATTCAAAAAGATATCCACTGGACTTGGTTTTCAAGATATGAAGACGTTTCGCCACCTCTCCAGGAAGCTTTCTCAATTCAAATGTCTGGATCCACAGTGAGTTTGAGTCTTATATGGACAAGGCCTTGTATTGCTTGGAAACATGCAAATGGTAACTGATGAATGGGTCGTTTAGTTCCATCGTTAGCCTGTAATATCTGAAACTGTCTATGATTCTAGGGGTCGGTCGTTAAAGGGGGGGATTGCCGTTAAGGGGGGGATGACCTGGATGACTGGGAACCTTCATCAGCAAATATAAAAGCCCTACAAAAACTGACAAGGATGCCCACAACAAATGCCTGTAAACAAACATCTGAAATTGATTTAGTCACATCTATGTAACTCCACCAATATAACATTTTAGAAATGCTTGTGTGAAAAAAAACAATCTAACCATTTTTAATTTGAAGCTTAAATGCATATTTAATCAGGTGAGTATCTCTGTTACTGCAAGGTGGGTTCAGTCCTTGGATTTTTGCCTTTTGCACACTCACTCCTTCATTTCTTTTGTGACTGTTCAAGACGACTAACACACCTAAGCCTGAAGGAGGTTCAAAAATCATTATTAAAAAAATCAGCAAAAAAGCTCATAAATAGCTCTAAATAATACAAACTAAAATTTGCAAAACAATTCCAAAACATCTATTATTAAACTCAAATTGGCACTGTAGCCTATGCTTAACAATTATTTTTTCCCTTTTATTTGTCCTGTGCCACAGTAATCCCTCATACTCTAGTCTTGACTCATTATGATTTTTAATAAATGTTTGGTCAGTTTTGCACTTCTCATGTTTAGTAAAAGAAAACACGTTCCAGCCCTATTTTTTTTTTTTACCTGAACAGAGTAAACTCTGAAAACACTGGTACCGTTTCCTAGTTTTAGCCGAGCTTTTATCAAGGCTAGAATCAGCTCAATCAAAGCTAAATTAATCTATTCATTCATCCCATAGTATCACAAAATGGCTTTTTGTTGGAGGGAACAAGTTTATGCTCGGCTTGTTTTTGCCCTCTTCAGTTGTGCACCAGGCTCTTCTACTCTAACGGTATCCCAGCTGCAGGCTTGAATAAACAAATATCAGGATAATTGCTTCCTATAGTAAAGCTTTAAATATATCAGTCCTGCTCTATAGATCTATTTATCATTAAGTGAAAGCTTGAACAGAACAGTTACCATTTAGTAAATAACTTCAAACTGGTTAGTTCTGAACCCTTTCCATTCATATTTTTTTTTCATTGTTTGGAGGCTAATTGTCTCACATTTTTTGCATAGATGCTTATTCATTTCTTCTACTTGCTGCTCATCATCGCAGCTCTTTAACTTTGACTGTCTCTGTTTGAATGTTTGCCTCAGGGAACCTGGAGAGCCACCTGAGAGTTCACAGTGGAGAGCGGCCCTTTGCCTGCCCAGAGTGCCTCCAGACCTTCACTCAGAAGTCAGACCTCCAGCGGCACATGTTCTCACACACCGAAAGGGGATTTCTTTGTAGCTTTTGTGGGAGATCTCTGAGGGACCCTCATAGTCTGAGATACCATGAGAGGCTGCACACAGGAGAGAGACCTCATTGCTGCTTAATATGTGGGAAAGGTGAATATGTCACTCTGTACAAAGCTGCAATATTGGTATCGTATTGGAAAGGAAAAAGTTGTATCAGGACACTTCTAGTTATGCTCTATGTCACATAAAACTGTTGGATGTAAACTTTTCCACTGAGCAGTTCTTAGTGGTACACCACATGTGTGGTTGTAAAAATTGAGCTTTACGTTGGCGGGATCAGCAGACGTCTGCTTTGTGTCTCCGTTGAGCCTAGCATGACAAATATCATCGGCCATAAATTTCACCGCAATCAACAGAGTGTGAACATATTCTGAAAAAAACTATTTCACTCTTAGAAAGACATGTCTAGCAGCTTGCTAGCTCAAGTGGGTAAGTCACCCATCCTGCAAACAGAAAGCCTGGGTTCATATCCCAGCTTGGGGGAATGAGCTGCCAGTGTGAGTCCTTGCCTAGTGGTTAGGGCATTGGGCTTGGAATCCTGAGGTTCTGAGTTCAAGCCCCACTCTCACGGACTGCCACTCTTGCTCCCCTGAGCAAGAACCTTAACCCACACTGCTCCCTGGGCACCGCACAATGGCAGACCACTGCTCCCCAAGAGGATGGAGAGTTAATTTAGTTGCTCTGTACTTGTGACAGTGTAATGACGATAAAATGCTGGCTGCTTTTGGCTAATTCTGTTTGTAAGGCTACTTGAAATTAGATTAACAGCTTTTGTTGGAGTACGTTTCAGAGGCCACTCCCCTCAGTTGTGTGCATGGCGTCAACGCCACAGAAAGCTAATAATAACATCTGCTTGTTTGTCAGCTCTTAGCCCTTGGACGGTACCCGGCCTGTTAATCGAGGTTCATTGATAGGGAGGTTGTCACTTTGCGCAGTGGTATCCCCAGATGCCTCCCTAACCGGGTAGGGGACTGTGCGCAATGGCGTGGTTGTGAGGGAAATTTGGTGACCAGCTCAGTCCAAACTCCACATAAACTACTCGGGGCTCTTAGCAGTTTTCCTGGCGCTGAGAAATTTTTCCTAGATTCTTTCAGACCATGTTCTAGTAAGGACAGACAGTACAACTGTGCTTTCACACACAACATGGAGGGACTCGTTGACTTAGAATAGAATAATATAGAAAATCCCTTTATTGTCCCACAATGGTGAAATTCTGGAATTTCCCCATTCAGACATGTAATTCAGACTTCTTATACAACAATCCAATAAAATACATTAAACCCTAGTAGAAATGCATAGAAGTATTTGCACAGAACCATATTCAGGTTCTGTATTTTTTTTTGGCCAGTTTTATCATAGAAATGTCTGTGTTTGGTTTTCATAACCAGAAACTCTTAAAAAAAAAAAACAAAAGGAAGTGTTTAAAACTACTGGATAATAAAGCGTAGGATTATTTTTAATTGGAAGGAAAATGTGTAAAAGGAAATCTGGGAAAGACAGTTTAGAAAGTTTGAGGAACTGCTAGTCAGAGCCGCTTAAACAGATTAAAAGGAATGCAGGGAAATGCTAAAAAAAGTGCTTTCTAAAAACATATATATTTTATATTTTAAAATATTCAAATATTCATTTAGCCTCTTATATCTCTTTCCTTTGTTCTTTCATTGTAGAATTAGAAACGTTTCAGGACAGAAAAACTCCAGCTGAGACATAATTGTGAAACATGAGTTAATGATAAAGCCAGTCGGGGGCTAGATGCACAAACCGGTCATTTCCCTTCCTCCTCCAACCAAGCGGCTCTGTTTATCTCACCCAGCAGGCTGCAGATGCTCTGTCCTGCATGCATGATTGGAAAGCATAAAGTGCTGATGACTCATGCATATGTTCACAAATTCTTTTTATCAAGTGTTCATCAGTAAACTTGTTTGCTGACATCACTGGTTTCTTTAATACTAAAGGTAAATGGGATATTTTTCTGTCTTGTGACTGCCTAAAATGCACAAACTGCGCAGAAAATTGATTCTTCCAGACGTGGAAACTGTTGACAGTAGGGATTTATTTTTCCGCTGCAGTTTGTGGGAAACTTTACCACGGCTTATTGAAATGTAAAAAGCCTTAAAATAAATTCCCCTTTGATGGCAGCAGCATAACCTCAAACTGAAAAATGCTTTAAAATCCACCCAGCCATCCTCTTTCCTTTATCAGAGGTTGTGGAGTCTAAAGGTCCTGAGGTGAAACTCTGATATCCCTGGAGAAATTTCCATATTATTCTTGGAGATCCCATTGTATTCCAGAGGGTTGTATTGTCTCGAGGTTTCTCAAGTTTTTCTGAAAGAAAAGTCATCAAATGGAAGCATCTTTATCGGTTAGGACCTTTGGTGCAACAGCTCTACTTTGTTCTTCTGATGACAGAGCTCCTCATAATTTTCCATCAGTGATCTTATTCTTCTGGATCCTTTAATTTCTGTATATTTAGTTAGTATGGGAAATAAATTATGCACCACACGGGTTTTAATTCAGCATTTAAGTCCCCCTTCACACTGAAGCAAGAGCTCAGAATGTCAACCAAAGTCTTTACAAATTAGAGAGGCTCCTTGTTACCTGTTTTTCATCTGAATTTCAAGTGAGTTTTGCATGCACACAGCCTCCTTCTGGCTGATAAAAGCACTTTTCCCTTACTGCCGTCTTTATCTGCATTGTCTGGGTTGCGGAAACTAAAACAAACAGGTTTTTGGTGGTTTATCATTGAGATTCGGCATATTGGTGTTCTCATAGACCTCCTAAATGTGCCTAGGCTTATCTCTCCTGGTTGTTTGGAAACTGATTTAAGTTGCTATTTTAAATGCTGCAGGTATGGAAGCATAACTGAATCTGTCAAAGAGAAATCTATTCTGACAACACCCACCAAGGTTTCCTTGCAGGCGAAGTATTTATACAAACTCCACTCAGTGCCAACCATTTCCCCTTATTATACCGATGCTTTTGATAGGTTGATCTAACAATTCTAATGTCATTACTTCCTCGTCAGCATGGTTGAAAGGGCGGGTAAAGGTATAGGAACTCCCAAATGTACAGGTTAGGTCTGTAGTTTGGCCAGAAACCTTTGGAATATGATCAATACTTCAGAATTTGTTTAATGTTTTGTCATGGTAAAACTCCAAACTTCAATGTATTTTTTTTTTAGGGATTTTGTGTGACAGAAAAATGTATTGACTAATTGTGAAGTTAAAAGCGAAAACAATAGTTTCAATTATTTTACAGATAGAAATCTGAAAGGGCTTATGTGCTAGTTTGTTTAAATTAGGCTTTTCTTTTTCTTTTTAGGCTATACGATGGCCACCAAGCTGAGGAGACACATGAGGTCTTCCCACCTGAAAGAGAAGCCGTACAGCTGCTCCTGCGGTGCTGCATACACCTTGAAACAGAGTCTTCTGAGGCACCAGGCTCAACACCAGTCAGAGGAGGGGGCACAGAGAGAGGTGGAAAACACTGAAGCAAACGGCAACAATGAGAAAGCTGCTCAGGAATCAATAGCCTCAGTCTGCAGCCACCGGAAACCAATCCGAGGCAGGCCGAAGAAGACTGCCCATCCTCCGGAGACAGGAGAAAAGGATAAAGGGGAGGAGAAACAGACAACAGAAAAACCAAGAGAAAAAGGAAAGGATGAGAAGTTAAAAACTTTGGAAGCATCAACCGTAGAAGTTGCAGCCGATGTCCAACCCTCTGTCGTTTATGTCCACACAGAAGACCTCTCTGGAGTGACCTCCAGGCCTCTGCTTCTGTCCACAGATGGCTCTATGCCTGTAGGGATGGAATCTGAGCTGGTGGAGGTGGTAATATCTGACTGTGCAGAGCAGTGCATTGTGGTCCAGGGGCAGCAGAGGTTGGGAGATCTGCTATTCCTGCAAGAGGAAGCAGATGGACTCTGCACTGTGGCCCAGACTGTAGAGATAAACACGGCATAACCTAAACCCACAGCTGGAGGACACCGATGATCGATGTGGCTCAATTAGATGATGGCTAAATGAGACCCACCTTCCTTCGGCCTGCCTTATCCACATTTAACCCAGTTAATATGGGAAAATTGTCTTTGAGCCACCTTTGTAGAACAGATGTGAATGAATTAAAGATCATTAAGGGCTGATTAGACCAAAAAACTACTAATAATTAGAGTAGGAACAGTCATACCAACAGTCCTGATACTTTTTATTTTATTTATAGTTTTGCTTTTGATGTTTTCATTGGCTTAAATATGATCTGAGAGTCATTTTTGTATATGGAATGTATTAGATCAGTACATCCAGAAGAGTGTAGGACCTTATAAAATAAACCATTAACAGTTGAGCCAGGTTAGGTGAGAAAACAGCAGAACTGGAGCAGCAAGAGAGATAGATTAGTCGCCAGTTCCCTTTGTACAAGGTTAGGCTGGAATAAGATTTGGTTTTTAATCGACTCATGACCTATGTGAGCCTCAGTTCAGTTTAAGTTCAATATTAAGACCAAATGATTTGATTGAAATGTCAAGTGGAAAATCAACACAAGGTGATGTGTGAAGCAGAAAGCAAATAATGTTTTACCTATTTGAAAATAAATGCAAATAAAAAATAAACTAGAAGTGTTTCTGTATGTTTGTATCCCATCCCCATTTACCACGATGCCAGAAAATAACGTTACTTTCAAAAATGTCAATTTTTAACTTATCTGATTAGGGCATCAAGTTTGCCTGTGTGTATTTTATTTACCATTATAAAACAATGTCTTCCTTCACTAGGGAAAGGGAACTTATACAATTCGATGGAGGTTCATCTTCCAGCAGGACAACAATCTTAAGCATTCTTCTGAAGCTACAATGGGATGGTTTCAATCAAGGCATGTTAATGTGGTAGAAAGGCCTAGTCAAAGATCACACCTTAATACATTTGACTATCAGTTGTGAAATAAAAAATATATATATGTTCACAAATACCTCCCCATCCAATATGACTTGAGTTCAAACTCTTCAACTATTTGATAACATTTTTTTTTAGCTGTTCTTGAGAGATGCCAAAAGTTGCAGACCTAAAACATAAAGAGCAGTGATGTCCAAATCTTATGTCGGTGGATTACATCATCTTGTCCTGAAATATTCAAGGTCTAGTCTTTTATGAGATGTGGGCTGCACCTTAGACAGCCTCTGCACTGAAGCCTTTTTTTTAAAAGGGGAATGTGAAAATAGCTTGTCATGATCTATAGAGTTCAAGCCTCCTCCTGCTGCACAACAACAAACCTCCCCACGAATCTCTCCACCCTGAAGGAGTTCTGACTGCGGAGAGAATCATGTAATTAAATGTCAGGCTTGTTCAGGTGGATGTTATGTCAGGGACCTTGTTTCAAACTGCAACAGATTTCATGGTTTGCATCATAAAGAGTCCAGCAGTGAGTGTTATTTATGTTGCACAGGCATCAGCTGGAGGTGCAAAAAAGATTGATCTTCCTACAAAAAATAGAAAAAGTGGAAAAAAAGATTCTTCACTGGATTTTAAGGTAATCACCATGTGATTACTGTAATGGATATATTAATGTGTCTGCTGATTTTCATCTAAGAGTGAGGCTTCAAAGCTGCATGTGCAATTTAAGTGCTAGCTTTGCCTATTAATAACTTCGCCCTGTTCAGCTTGTTGATGAATTTGACCTTCCTCTTTGCTGATGAATGCTCAACAGTCATCAATAGAGTTGAGTGAAGCATTTAAGGCATAGAGGCCTGCGTAGAACAGGTGAACCAGGTCCAGGTGGTCGCTTGGAAGCTGAAGGGAGAAGAAGGTTGCATCTTACATAAAAGCAATTTTAGTCATGTTTATATCACAGCTGTTTGGCTGGATGAGCTCATCTGGAAGGCCACCTCTGTGGTTGCATGCCTTCTGGACTCAGTGCAGGAGGTGGGAAACAAAAGGACCGTTACTGAAATAACATCTGTTAGATAATGTCTCCCACCCCATGCATTAAAGCTGATGCAGAACTGGAGTGCTCCTTTAGTGACAGACTGCTGCACCCTAAATGCACCAGGGAGCATTATCACAGATTCTTCCCCCCAGCAGCTGAGAGACTTCATAACCAGCACTGTTCCCAGCAAACTCAATAAGCTGTTACATTCATGGTAATTTCTGCACAGTTTCTGTCTTAGTCAGCTAAATAACATGCTGCTGTTACTTTTTGCAACTCTGGTGTTGCTGATATTTTCACATATCCATTACTGTAAAAATGTCCACAGCTGTTTATTGATTATTTATTCTCCAGATACAGATTACTAATATTGTAAAAACACTATATATTATTCTGTTATTTTTATACACTTTTCTAAGGTCATCGATTTCCTCATTGTGGGACAATAAAGGGATTTTCTATTCTATTTGTTGGACCCACTCTTTCTTTGCACTTTGAGCTGTGTACGCTTTATTTTGAAGACACAGAGGATGACCCCTGGGCTCCTGAAAAGAGAATAAAGGAGGTTAAGGAGTGAAAGGCCAACAAACTGAGCTGAGTGATGATGTGTTGTAATTACTGTGTTTGGGTTACTGTCATTAAGCTATTATCAAGTTTCTAAAAGTTATAGTTAGCGACAGCATAATGCATTAAATCAGCTATAAAAGCAACAATGTGATGACTCTCAAACTATGGTAATAACTTTAGTAGCAATTAAATATTTGCAAGTCACTAAGACATTTGGGCCACATATTTATTATTCTAAAACATTCCACTGAAGTTGCCAAATGCTCTTCATAATGATTATTTGTATAATGTTTATCTATACATGAAGTTATGCATTCATGTTTAAGCTAATAAACTGCTCAATAAAGATGCAAGAAAGTGTCTCATTTACTACCACACAATCAGTAAGTGCTGCCAAGTATGTTTTCTTGAATAAATATTTTAGCTTTATTATCTAAAATAGCACTTATTTGATCTGCACAAAAACTGTCCTCTTTAAGAAAACTTCTTCTTTTAATGTTTCATTAAATACTGACTGCTTTTATTCCCTTGAATGAAGGTAATATTTTTTAAACACTATAGCAATAACAGAATATTATACTACTGTCAAAACCTTGTTATTTCAATGGTTAAATCTATGAATAACATAAGCTAATGTAAGAAAAAGTAGAAACATTTGGTTAAAATCCAAACAATATTTAGTAAATACATAAGAATGTATTTAATCCGCCACTGAAAGATGAAAAATAATACCAGCTAAAATACAAAGTTTTTATTCTCCACCTTGTACTCCCTGTAGGTTGACCTCTGTTCTTCCATATCTGTAGGCAGACAGTTGCTTGAACAAAGCACAAACCATCTTCAGCAGCATAGCTTGTTTCTCTGGGGCCGGACTTCCACTAAGCGCATAGAGAGGTCTGCAGAGATGCACTAAAACACATATTAATTGATGCCCTTTAAATATGTCAAATTTATTTTTTATTTATTCACCAAATAATTAAAATAACATTAATCAAAACCTTTTGAAAAAAGAATAAACCGTTTTTCAGGTCTTGTCAAATACATGATTAAAGAATTGCAAAGTTAAAGGACTTTCTGTTTTGATGTAATTTAAATTTATTACCACTTTGATGGGTATGCTTTTTTCTCCTCCACATCAGTCCAGGCAGCTTCTGATATTCACTGATCAATAGAAACTTATCGTTAAACATGGTTGGAGGTTTCACTTCCACTGCAGATGGGGTCCAGCCTAAACTAGCCACGGTGAACCACTTCCACACTGAAAAAAAGTGACTTTTTGGTGCTGTAAACTCTATTAGAGTATTAGTCATAATTTCTACTTTGTATTTTTAAGCTTCATGAAAAACTAGAGTTTCTGATGTAAAAGTAAACTTTTTTTTTATGTTATACATGAATTTTGGGGAGAGAGTAAGGTTTACTTAGATTTCTTTATACTATTTAAATGTTTAATAGCAGTATGTGCATAAACCTAAAAATACTACATAAACTTTATTCTAAAAATGTAGAGTTTTGAAACACATGCATGGCACATGTGCACTGTGGCTCACAGCAGGACTGATCCTGCGCCTAATCCAGACATTACAGGATCACACACAGAGCAAGAGGCGGCCCCGACGACAATCATTTTGGCAGGGTGCAACAGTACTGCAAAAGCTTGCTCGCTGCTCATGGGACTGATATATGCCCTTACTGTAACATGGCATACCCTCCCACTTTGTGCTACACTTTAGAAGTCTTCCAGAAACTTTTCCTGGAGTTGGATGGATATAAACTGTCCCCAAAAGTAAACACCCTGAAGTTGAAGTTTCTTTCCTAAATGCATTCTTGACTTTGTCATCTTAGGGTAGGAAAATGTGGCATCAAATGCCAAGAATCAGCAGTGGGTTCCACTTAATCGTAGTGGAAGGTTGCCTGTCATTAATGTTTTTATTTATTGCCAAATAAGGTATATGTTATTTGGCAAGCTGTTAGTTTTTTAATTGTGTTTGTTTCATTAATGTTGTTGAAATTGCATTCTTAAAAGTCTGCTAATCTGGATGATGATTTGAATGATGAAATTGCACTGTTTCAGTGTGTAGGTTAATAAAGTTTTTATCGCATATTTAAGTAGTGACATTACCAGCAGATCTGTGTTGTATGTGGTATATATGAAATACTGTGTATTTGTTGTTTACAAGTCATAACAACATTATCTTTTTTTCAGTACAAATTCATGAATAGAGGAATACATAATCTTTACACCACTGCTCAAAGTTTAAGTGGCTGTTTCTGTGCTGACCCTCGCCCAGAAGTTGTTTTGAACATGTTTGAGTAATAAAATATTCTTGATCTCACATATGAGTATATTTCTGTAAGTAATGTTGAAAGTCTCAGTTTCAGAAGGTTTTAAGATTCCAGTTAGAGGGCTGCTCAGTGGGCTGCTCAGTGGCACAGTGGGTAGCACTGCCTTGCAGCACAGTGTGGGTTCTATCTAGCTTCCTCCCACAGTCCAAAAACATGACTATTATGTTAATTGGCTTCTCTAATTTATCTTTAGGTGTGAGTGTGTGTGCGTGAATGGTTGTTTTTCCCGTGTGTCTCTGTGTTGCCTTGCAATAGACTGGTGACCTGTCCTGGGTGGACCCCGCCTCTCGCCCGTAGACATCTGGAGATTGGCACCAGCACCCTTCTCGACCTCAACTGGGATTAAGCATGACAGAAATTGGATGGATAGATTCCAGTTAGACTGTCAAATTTCTGGCTGGCCAATGAAAGATGGGGCAATGCAATACAATAGGGTATTTACTTCTTTGTTAAACTGTTTAAAATAAAAAATAATTGTTTATTTAAAATAACTTTTTTTGATAAATGTTATTTATCATAACATTTATCAAAAGAAAACTGGCAATGATTACCTAATATTAGTGAGTAATGTCACATAATGCAACAAAGTAAATCAATATGTCATGCACAAGAAAATAATATCTACTT